AACGCCAAACATTCGGTAGAATTTATAGAATATTGTAAAAATTATGGTATATTACCAACATATACATATATATATATATATATATATATATATATATATATGTATACACATACATATCTTTATCTTTTGTACACGCAGCATAAATTTATTACATTCCATCCTCAATGGAACAAAGGCCTTTTAAATGGCATCTTTGCACGGAGTAGTAGTTTGGATGGTAGAATTAAATTAGGATGTTATCAAGTTTGATTGAATGGGAAAACAGGGAAAGCTGGTTAATCGGACCACATAGAATTTTTGGTCTAGTTCAGCGGCTCGTTGAATTAACGAGATGGTCTTTACATTGTTATGTTGAACAACAAATTAATACAATTCCAAAAATGGTTTAATACATAAAAATATTATTTATTAAAAATGTAATTATAATTTATGAAATTTTTTAAAAATTCTACTTTGAAACAAAAGTTTTTTATGCTATAACTTTTATGGGAATTTCAATGGAAAATCTTTACAATAAAAATTGATCCTGTCCCAAACCAGATTGTAAACATAATTCAGCAGCCCCTTTCAGCACGGGTCTTCTTAATTAACAAGTTAACAGAATTCTCGCCACAGCAGGTGCGTACAATTTTGCCAACTTGTTCTTCAAAACTGGTTCATGCACGAAACCTTTAAATTTCATTAACCGTCACATATTGTACTTATGCCACGCCGTTCTTCCTCTCATGAAGCATGTTTAACATAGGTGCGTAGGTGCGGTGCATTATGCAAGTGACCAACACTATTCCAAAACCAACACATCATATATACTTAAGAAAACATAACAAAGCAACACTTGAACCCAATTTCCACAAAACCAACATTATACAATGCAACACAACTCAAAGCTAACATTATAATCCAACACAAACAAAACGACCAAACCCAACTGACACAAAACAACCGACATAAGCCTAATCGCAACAACCAACCGCCACTACTGACAACACACACACACAACAGGGCACGCAGACATCTGTCTCTTACAACGAGAGCCTGATCTTCATTATTGACTGGTTCATCTCATACTACTTAAAATTTTAAATTTTGACTGTTCAGACGATAGTACGCTTGCTTAGTTGCATTTACATGCTTGCATTTGTACGTAGCAGAGAGCCCGATACATCGTCGGTGCATATATTACTAGTGTTTGTTTGTTTGTGCGTGCCTGCGTGTAACTGTTACTCAAATACTCATTAGTGTTAATAACATGATAACGATGATGAGAGGCAGTCGCTTTCTTCTACGGAAACCAGCATCGTTACTCGTATATATAACCATATGTTACATTTTAGGAATTGTTGCATGTAACTAGTAACATTGAATAAACGATGAACACGTTTTCTCTACAAACGAGTGAAGCACGTGTATCGTCTTTCTGCGGAAATTAAAACTACCTACCCGCATTAAGATACCAAACAAATGTTCCTTGCATGAACATTAATAAACACGTTCAGTAAAAATTGTTAAGTGTTTCGCAAAAAGTAGGAAGACAATCGAAACGAAAATTATCAATTTTTCAGAATTCTTTTTTTACAAATTTAAAAATATATATTAAATTATTTTATTGGTGAGGTTACGCGTGATTACGGTAATTGTCGTCCACATGCGTATTTAAGATACACAAAGTTTTATCAAGACAACTTTCATATATGTACTATACAGTGCATCGTTCTTGACAGATGTCTGCTTGGATGTTTCTGTGTGCCATTTGTAAAAAAAAAAAACTTCAAGTGTCATTTAATTTCATCCACGTTTGAAACATCCAGTTGGTCTCCGTTAAAATAAATCCTGTACGCTCTTGCATCAGTCAAGTCGTCACCTGCGTTAGCCAATGCTTCAATAAGTTATATATATATATATATATATATATATATATATATCTTTCATTTTTTACCAGCATATATATGTATATATATATATATATATATATATATATATGTGTGTGTGTGTGTGTGTGTGTGTGTGTATGTATATATAACTATGACTAGATGACTAAATAAATAAATAGATACATAAATAAACAAACGTTTAATTAAGATATATGTTTGGGTGAGTTTGTTTGTTTGTTTGTTTGTTACGAGTGTGTGTTGAAATATCTATAAGCTTTCTGGGTTTTTTCTTATTAAATATTAGGGCCGATGTTTCTACCAATAAAACAACTGCTCACACATTATGAATATGATGAGGCCTTCTATATTTGTTTGACAATGACTGAGTCGATGAGTTGATCTGCTGGATATATTTTGGTAAAATTTTGCGTTCGTTTAAAAATAGTATTCTTTAAAGCCTAACAATTTAACTCTAGAAAAATGAAATAAACATCTGAATAATTTCAACAATTCAAGTGGAATGATAAAGAATAAATTGAACGAGTTGATGTTGAGATACTACAGATTGAAAGAAGCACACAGAGAGTGAGAGAAGGCAGCACTACTACCACCACCACCACCTCCCGGAAGACCACCCACCACAGCGTCCATGCAGCTGGCGTCAACTATGGGCTCCCGTCACAAAAGCATCCCATCACATCACAGGAAAATATGCAGAAAGCCAGGCGGTCTTCATACATTTTGCATGCGTGTACATCTGCACAGACATTCGTATTGTCTAGCAAGGGTAATTCCGTTGTCATGGTTGCAAAGCATGTGCACGGTTGGCTGGATAAATTCTGCTGACAACGTCGCAGCATCTCAAACACTTGTTCAACATGAAAGTGTTCGCACAGACACGCACGCACAAGCACGCACACGGACACACACACACGCAGAGGCGCATACACAGGCACGCACACGCGCATACGTTGTCACACTTTTTTCTGGTTTTGCGTGAAATTGTTGTTAGCTTCATTATTTGTGATTTAAGCAGATATGTGAGGGAATATTTTAACGATGTATTATCATTATTCTATAAAATTGCTTTAAAAGCCTCATATTAGATTGTAAATTAAGTAATTAACTAGAACTATTTCGTGCATTATATAATTATTTTTCTCATATTTGGAATGGAGTTTTCGCCGATATTCAATTTGTTGTAACGAAACTAAAAATACTTTTCATTGAGAATAAATTATTCTTCTCTTGTTTGTTACGCAAATGTATGTCATCGATCAAAAAGCTTAATCTAGTTTCCATTTCAATATTCATTGTAGAGTAAAGTGAAATTTTGAAATTTAATTCATAACGGAATTGATGCAACAAATTTTAAGAAGAATTTTTTGAGGAACTTGAAAAACTGGTGACACTTTCAAAGATAGATTTTCTGTAAAAGGTGTTGAGTCTCGTTATGTGATAACATCCATCATTTTTGTAATCGGTCATGAATAAAGTCGTAGCGAAATTGCCGTACGAAGAACCAAACGCAGGCCATTAGTTGGCAAAAAAAACCTGTTGTATTTATTATACACAACTGCTAACTTTCAATGTAGGAAAAGCTGCAAAATCTTATTTAATACATTTAGACTAAATTTTAACTTCAACTGCTCTTTTTGTTACGAGTATGATTTGCTTACAATTTATAAAAATTTCAACATGTGAGCTGCCACAACCAGCCTCTTCAAACTAGCACCACGGTTATAGACTTATAGACACATACTGATGCATTAACATACCAGTACATCACACATATAACATTCATAATAGTTATGCATGCAAAATATAAAACAGACAATATTTTCATTATTATTATTATTATTATATCACGTGAAAGCACGAGAGCTGACCGATAATTTACAGCTCGCTGTTTTTAAGCATAATTTTGGTTTTAAGTTTTTAAATTAGTCTCAAAATAGTTTTAAATATTTGCTAAATTGTAAGAAATATGTTGCCATTTAAATTTTACATAATTGTCTGTTTTATTTCAGTTTTAAACGTTTCTCGGGTATATTCAACAAAATGTCCATTCTGCAATATATCGTTTGAGTGTGTTGGTAGGCACACATGGCGTTGCGCGAAAAATACAGCCAACTTTGATTCTATTGTTGTACACACGCCTGCTGATAGTAACGTTGATATTTCTTCGAACATTTTCAACTCATTAATTATTCAACAAATTCAGACATTAATAACCTAATTAAATGTTGTTGCGGTAGGTTTTGCAAGGAACGTAAAGGTTTAAAAATGCACCAACGCTCATGTGCCATTCATAAGAGACTCAAACTGTCAGTGGAAATAGAAAACGGCAATGAAACGGCAAATTTAGCACCACAATTAGACTCGACGCCGCCAGAGGACAAGCAACAGTCGCATTCAAAGAACGCCACGCAAGAGTTTCCCTCAACAAACGCCACAGATCAACCTTCTTCAAATAGCACCTTGCAACAACTTCTTCCAAATATCGTCATGCAACAATTTCCTCCAACAAACGCCACGAAACAAATTTCTTCAACAAACGCCATGCAACATCATTCTTCAAATAACGCTGCACAACAAATCTCTGCAAATAACGCCACACAACAAGTTCCTCTAACAAACGACATGCAACAACCTTCTCCATCAAACAACATGCAAGAATTTTCTCCAACAAACGCCTTACTGCAGTCTCAATCAACAAAAATCATTCAACAACTTCCCTCAACAAACGCCATACAACGATTCTCTCCAACAAATGCCATGCAGCAACCTTCTCTGGCAAACACCATGCAACAATTCTCCTCAACAAACGCCTCGCAGGAGTCTCCGCCAACAAAGCCACTTAAAACGGACAATTGGGCACCAAGTTCAGACAAAACCGCAATGCCGCTCGCAAGAGTCAAACTCCCGAAAAGCCACGCTCAATGGTTAGAAGCCAACACCTACTTCCAACTACAACGACACACTCTACCAAACTTCGACAATATAAACAACTTCACTGTTGCATTTCAAACCATGATATACAACTACATCGCAAAAAATTATGGTACAATCAAGCATAAAGTGGAATCTGACGTCAATAATAATCATCAAATTAGGTTATTAAAAAAAGAATTGAAGCACCTCAAGCAGCTGGGAATTGAAGCACCTCAAGCACGACAATCACCATTTTGATGCCGAAATAGGACTGGTGATTAAACTGCTGCGATCGAAATTGGCATTGAAACAATCGGCTAACGCAAAAAAACAAGATACAACATCCCAGCTGAGACATCGATTCTGGTGGTATTGCAAAAAATTATTCACACCAGCTGAATGCCAGAGTCCTCAGTTCAATTCCACAACTTGCCATAACTACTTCAGCACTGTCTTAAATGAATACAGCCACAACAAACACCAGCTTCCAGGCTGGTTAGAAAAGCTCCCACCACCGTCTAAGCCATGTAACACAAACCCTCCCGGGTACAACGAGATTTCGTCAATAATCAGAAAATATAGAACGAGATCATCGCCCTGCCCTCTGGACCAGATCTCGATTATCCCGTTCAAAAAATGTCTCATACTCAGAACTATTTTACAACAATTATTAAGTCAGTGCTAGTCAACCTCCACGATTCCTACGTGCTGGAAAAATGGATTCACCATATTAATCCATAAGAAAGGTGACGCTGACAAACCGTCAAATTTTCGACCTATAACTCTGCAACCAACACTCTACAAGATCTTCTCATCATTAATAAATAATAGAATATATCAATATCTTGAAACTAACAAAATGATTAATAAAAACATCCAAAAAGGGTTTTACTCGAAGGTTGATGGTCTAACCGAAAGCACCCAAATGTTAACCCATATGATTAAAGATGCGAAAAGACACCAACGAACCATCATCATTGCTTTGTTGGATCTCCGCAACGCATTTGGGGAAGTTAGCCACAGTCTTATTTCGTCTACTCTCAGCCACCACCACATCCCGCCTCAGATAATCAACCTAATTAATTATATCTACAGCGATTATTCAATCACAGTTTCTGGCTGCGAAAGTTTAACCTCCCCAATCCCAGTAAGACGAGGAGTTCTCCAAGGCGATCCCGTCTCCCCATTACTTTTCAACTTATGTTTTAACCCACTGATGAGACTGGTTGAAAAGGACGAGTTTCAGCAGTGCGGTTATATGTGGGGACCTTCAGCCAATCTACACTACAGACCCTGGCTTCAGTTTGCTGATGATACCGCTATCATAGCAAATAGCACCGACAGCGCCCAAAAATTAATAGATTTAAACCAGGCGTGGTGTAGCGCAACCGGGATGTGCATGAGGATCGACAAATGCAATTCATTCGGCATGAGGAAAAGAAATGGCAGATATGAGCAATTCTCTCCTCGACTAACCATCGATGATAAACCAATTCCGCCGACTGAGACAGATGGCCACTTCGTTTACTTGGGAAAAATATACGATTACGAAGGTTGCAATGTTGAAGCCAAAAAACGTCTGATTGACAAACTTAAACACATGCTGTCTATTATAAATAAATTAAATACTATACCACAATGGAAACTGCAGATAGTCCGCAGATATATCCCATCGCAGTTGGCTTTCGAACTCCGCACCTATGATTTTCCGTTGACATGGATTGAGAACAGTTTGGACCCGTTGATCGCCGAATCAATAAGAGACTGGTTATCCTTGCCAGTCAGTAGCTGTGTGTCGGAGTACACTTCGCTCCCTTACAAATTAGGGGGATTAAATGTGAGATCGCTCAAACATTACACTGAAGCGTTGAGGGTTAAACTCCGCAACTACATGAAATCGCACATCAACAACGAAATAAATTGTTTGTGGATGGAATCTCACAACAGCTACATCAAAGTCGACAACATTCTTCCGAATTCAACTGACATAAAGCCGACACTTTCAAAGCTATCGACAGTCCAGCAAGACGTTGGTCTCTCACATCTGTCCTCACTGAAATGCCAAGGAACGATTCTCAAGTCAATCAAAGATCATATTTCGGCAACAAATATTTCTCGATGGTCGAAGTTCACTGCCAATCTGCCGGAGATTCTGTTCAAATTCGTCAGGAAAGCACTAATTCAACAGCTTCCGACAAATGCAAGTCTCTCCAGAAGGGGTAAGTCCTCGAATGCTCTGTGTCCCCTCTGCAACGCATAGCAGACCAACAAGCACGCGCTGTCTAATTGCGGTTCTATTGCGGCTTTAAAAAGATACACAACACGTCACAACAAAATACTGTCCTTGATTTTGGAAACGATTAGATCGGTAGCAAAACCAGATGTTACAATTTATGCCGACACGACCAGCGATGAATTCAGTCCAGTATCGTCCCTTTTCAAATCATCTCGGCCGAACATAGCACTCCATCGTGGTGACACCATCGAAATACTGGAGCTGACAGTCTGCCACGAATCCAACTTCAACACATCAAGGAACTACAAGATATCTAAATACCAAAACATCCACAACAATCTGGTTGACGAGAAGAAAGCAAAAACAATTATTATTAATACATTTGAAATCTCTCCACTAGGCTTTTTAATCATTTTAAATTATCTCTTGTAAATTTTATTTGGACTGAACAATTATGCTACGATTTAACTAATTCAGTATTATCATCATACGCCATCTATTGCGATAGACATACAAATGTACATTAACTATATTAAGGCGTCGTCTTCGTCATCGTCATCATCATTTTAATCATCGTCATCATCATCATCATCATTATCAACATCATAATCGTAGTCATCATCGTAGTCATCATCGTCGTCGTTATCGTCCTCATCGTCATCATCGTCATCTTTTCTTTATCATCATCACCATTTGCGTCATCATCATCATCAAACAACCATTAAACTGATATATATAACTTCTTTCCAATATCATCATCATCATCATCATTATTATTATTAGTGTCATTATTATTGTTATTATCATTATGACAGATTTAACTAATTCAGTAATATCATCATCATACGCCATCTATAGCGACAGACATTCAAATGTATAATAACTATATTAAGACTGATTACATTTCTCGTTGTACGCATTTTATATCTATAATGGCAAGCATCGTAGACTACTTTCTCATTTTAATTCATTTTATTTTATTTTATTTTATTTCATTGAATATTTATTTCGCCCCTTTTTTGGAAAAAATAAAAGAGTTCCCTCTAGTATAAACATGTAACTTCTATGGTTCGTATAAATTGTTTAATTTACATTACCTCTTCTGGCGTATAAATATTGAAAGGAATTGCTCGTGGCAGGTATTCAAATTTTCCTGCCTGCAAACCACTGAAATTTGCACATAGGACGCTATGTCATAACAATCCATCCCAACTCATCTGTTAAAATAGTTAATATTTTAGCCAGCGGTCTTCTGGTACTATCTCAAAATCTATCTATAAAAATTGGTGATGTAATCCTACCACATATTCATTCAATAAAATTCTTGGGTATCATGTTACAGAGTGATTTGAAATGGTCGAAACGTATTGAAATGATCCTAGCAAAATTATATGGAGTTAATGGAATAATATATAGAGCACCCAATAAACTAACGTTACCAGTTATGATAACGTTGTACTGTTCCCTCTTTTTTCCATATCTAACCTATGGGAATATTTTTTGAGGGAGCACGGCCAAATATTTAATTAACAAACTATCTATTGTCCAAAAAAAGTTCTTAGTACATGTTTTTCACTATCTAAATTAGACCACATCAAGCCAATATATACCTTGTACAAAATTCTTAATATAGAGCAACTAAATATCTATCAAACACTAATATTTTTCTACAAAGTTGTATATATGGAAAACTACCAACATTTCAATACATTTGAATTAATTACAACAAATAGTCGATATAATAGCAAGTTTAAATTATTGAAAAGTAGGACAGTAACTAATGACAGGCATTGGGCAGTCTGTGGTATAAAATTATGGAATGAGCTGCCTTTAGATGAAGTGAATATAACCAATATAAGGTCATTCAAGCTTTCACTCAAGGAAATTGTCTTTAAAATGGTTTGATTTAATTTGATTTTTTCACATTATACTGTGTTGTATGAATATCTGTTTATTTTATATATGGAAATCTTCGTAACAATTTTTATTAAGTTTATTTTAGGTATTTTTTTATTCTGTTTGACTTAATTTGTGCAATTTTAGTTAAGGTGATCTGCACAAGCTCGCTTATTTGATTTCCTGGTTTTTGCTAAATAAAAGGATAAAAAAAATCTTTCATACCATACTGCCTCAATGCATACAGAGTTAATATAACTTTCACAGAACGGAATTCTCGAGTTATTTTGCAATGACATGTTATAGAACACGTATATACCTAATATTACAGTATGCCATCTACATTAAGCACGTATATTAAAAAATGGGGCAGAAAAAGGGACATCTGGTTATATTTTTACAGTTTAGTATATTTCTCTTGTCATTATCGACATGAATATACAGATGTAAGTATGTATTTATGTACGTATATGTATTTTTATATGTATGTATTTACGTATGTGTATGTATATGTATATATACAAGTATGTTTGATTTGATGTCGTGTTGTTTTAAAATAAAATTTAATTCGTGATTATTTTTCACATAGAAACTGATGGTCGGTTTGAAAAGTAATCAAAACGGAGCCAACAAAACGTAAGAGGCGTGAGGGGAGTTGCTGATATGGAAATGTACGGTAAACGACGTTAGAAATATGATAATATGATAAAAAGATAAAAAGGTAAAATAAGATAAAATTAAAAATGTCTAATGAACTGACTCCAGCTTTCATTTGTAAATCACGTATGAAAATGTAAAATATTCGTCAGCAGTTCGAACTTTGTCACCAGATTCATCCGTGCAGTTGAACGCTTCACTGTAGGTGAGCCAGAACAGAGCGTAGCTGCTTTTTCAAGTGTTATATGTACAATACACTCGAGATCTGGCTGTATCGTTTGACGGTTGTTTGAATAATTACACATTCATCGCACACACGGTGACACACGCGTTCGTTCGTTGAGCATCATGTAACATAACATTCGGCCGCCGATAAACACGCACAAATATATATTTATGTAATATAAATGTGCTATTGAAATATTTGAAAATTATGCATACATTTTCTTTAAAATAGCAGACATGCATGAAACATTAAGCTGAAACTTATTCATGAGGTCAATGTATTTTACACAAAACCTCAAAATATTTATGTCGTAACTAAAATATTTCTAGATAATTAATAATTAGATAATTAATATTTCTAGAATTTTTAAAATTTGTAACATTTGGACCTTAGTGTTGAAGAATGTTTGTCACACAGCAGTTTTTAATATTAATGTGATGTGGTATGAATATTTATACTTTCTTTTCGCATTTACACAAATATTCTTTTTTACCATTTACTGTTATAACTCATTAAAAAGAATGTCATTAGCGAAAAATTACGCCATTTTAACCATTTTTCAGTTTTTTGTTCACATAACTTTATTTTTTGAACTGATGAGAACGAAAAAATTACCGGCGAGGAGAATACTTCTTTGGCTAGTTCAACAACATAATACTAATTGTAGTAATAATTTGTAATTCTATTTATATTTCATTAAACATTATATAAATTTTGATGTAAAATTTAACCTAATATGATTTTAATAAAATATGACGTATAATGGTTTTTTCAAGCCTGCCTAGGAGGCCTACCACAATTTTTTTACCCAACTAATTAACAATTACGAAGTAAATTTTGAATGTTAACATAGGAATTTTATTATTTTTAATTTTCTTGAAGACTGGCATTCCTAGTGTGATTAGAAAAATGGATAAGTTAATAAACTAATTACGCACTAGACTTTGAATGTTGCTAATTCAATAAGTTTTCTTATGATGACGGAATGATGAAATCCACATTAATTTATTATCTGAACCCATGTTAAATTTGGGTACTGAACAAGTTTAAAAAATTGTTAATCTCCATTAGTTCAGCGCAATATTGCATATTACACAAACTACATCTAAAATGCATTGAACTATGAATTAGAATTGGTAATGAGATCAATATGCGATCGTGAAACTACGAGCCAACACCATATTTCAACCGATCCGTTCAAGTGCAGTCAATATAGCTGTATTTATTACGTGCTTCAATTGTTGCACAAAATAAATCTCTCAACAGCAGCTCCGCTCTTCACCTTTCGCAAAAAATTAAGTTTCCACATATTTAAAATCGTTAAACCCACGTTAAATTGGTCATGCGATTAAACGTGACTACCTATTCGACTTCGATATAACCCACGAATATACCCATATATATCTCCATGACATAACTTTATTTAAACACGCCATAGAACATCAAGTATTCAAATATTCATAAACTAGAAAAAGTAAATTTTCAATTTTGATCTAAACGATCTAAACTACAGTCGCATTCCAAAAAGTGTATGACGCGTAACGCTAAAAATACAAAAAAAAAAATCGAAAAATAACAACTAAACACCCAACACATAACTTTAAAGTATAAATATTGAATCTTTATTCGTTTATTAATAATGAAGATATACAAAAATTATAACTACAATATTTTTCAAAAACAAACAGCAAAATAAAAATGGCAAATCAAGACATGGTTTCTCCTTTAGTAACCTGGAAAGAAAACATTAAAAAAATTATTCATGCTGAATTTTAAATATGTTAGAACATTATTGAACACTGAAAAAGGTGGAAGGCACGTTCAAATGTAAGAAATGTGTTCATGGTGGTGAAACTTGGGTGTTGAGGAGAGGAGGAAAGTGTACTGCAGAGGGCTGAAAGAGCTATGGTGAGGATGATGTGTGGGGTTAAAGTGAAGGATAGGAGGAGTAGTACAGAGCTGATTTCAATGATGGGACTGAATGAGGACATTGTGACATTGATAAGGAGATCGAGATTGCGGTGGTATGGACATGTGTTGAGAAGGGATGAAAGGGTCGGGATTAGGCGAGCGTTGGAGTTCGAGATTGAAGGAGTGGTAGGAAGGGGTCGTCCGCGATTGGGATGGAGAGAGTAGGTGGAGAAGGACAGGGTGAAATCGGGGTTGCGTGATACTGAGGCGAGTGACAGATGTGGATGGCGTCGAGGGGTATTTCGGTTTCATCATAGGTAGCCAAACGGCAACTCCCGATCTCGGGGAAAATGTCGTCTAAACGTGTGTTGTTGTTGTTGTTAGAACATTATTGAATACGAATTTATGTTAAAATTATTAAACTCATTTTCATAAATTTTCTTTTTAAACACAAATCTCAGTCAATTTAATGCACTTCAATGCTAGCTAAATTTATTAGAATGATAGAAATTATTAATTTTCTAATGATCTATAATTAAAAGACTCTTTTGAGTTTCAATGATTAATATTTTAAGCTTCTTAACAAGAAAATAATCATAACTGAACAATTCACAAGCAATTAAAGAACTTTAGCAGATCTTGTATACAATGTCAAGTTACGTTTATGCGATACAATCAATGTTAAAAAAGTTTAAATAAATGAGAAAAGTTTAAATTTTTTAAATAAATAAATAAAATACGCTCATTGACCATCTAGGCCTGCTTATAACGTATGAAGGAAGTATAAAGGAAAAAATGGCTAATACAAACTTTATTTATAAAAAAAACACGATGCTCAAAACTATGGTAAGAATTGAAAAATTGTATATTAAAAATTTACTCGAGCTTCAATGTACTCCACGCGTCTTTCCAATGTCGTTAATTTTTCATTCAGCGTGGCCAGCTTGGATCTACATGACATATCTGTTTCAACAATATTTTATATGCAGGTGTTGTTACGTAATAAAGTGAAAAAATATTTGAAAAAATATATAAAGACTCAGAATATAAATGGCAAGTTTATGAATGGGTAAGGAGATTTACTTTTTAAAAAAATTATAAATTATAATAACGTTGACATATCATGAATCACAAAAAATAAAAAAAATAGATTTTTTCAATTGAATAACATCAACATGTTGAATGAAACAGGGAAGAGGGTATGAATAAAAAAATTGAGAAAAAGCAAGAGCATAGACGAATGTAGATATTAATAATTGCTTTACTTATAAATATGAAAGAAGAGCCGTGTGTGTGTGTGTTTGTGTGTGAAGGCAGGAAAGAATCAGTGATGTCTGGATAATATTCATTGTTTGGAAGTACAATGATCGAATATTTTGACTTTTTTCATTTAAAAAAGTTCTGTTCAGAAAATTTATATATCACAATACAACTCTTGCTCAAAAAGTTTATATATGTATCACAAATCAATCTTTATATAAAATTTTAACTTAGTTTTTGAGAAACCTCATAATTATTCCTTCAAACAAAGTCCATAAAATTGCATCCAACAAATCAGCAAACTACCAGCAATGACTAATTAATAGATATTTGAAAATAAGCACAACAATATTTGTCAATTTGATAAGTGTTATTAAATTTTTTAAACTTATGAAAACATACCAAAAGAATTTAGAAAATCTGTAACTTTCTTAATGCTGCAGGTCATAAGTTCAATATATTCTCGATTAACCCAGTCTTGTTGTATCTGTCTTTGTATCTGAGACATGTGGCCAACAGATTGATCTTTAACGCTGTTTGCCATCGAAGGAACAAAACAGGAGACCAGATTCTGTCTTTTTTGAATTATAACCTTTCCGATGGAATATCAGCTTTTCAAAAAATCTCTTTTCGGTCCTTGGATCAATAAATAAAGAGAGTGTCACAGTGGTTGTAAGACTATTTTACTGTTTTCTTTTTATAGCTTGTACTTTAGTCTTAGTCTTCACTTTACTTTTACTTTGTCTATTTTAAACAACAAAAATGTAAAGTTGAAAATAAGCAACTATAATTATATTATATTCATTAATTGAAATATAAACATGTTACTTCCATAATATATATTATATATGAATTATAACATAAAAAATATAATCTATATCCAAAAATCATATAATTCAAATAAATTCAATTAGCAAAAAAATTTTAAAATTCTTAAAAAAAGTATAACAAATCCAGGCTGTTTGTTTCTTGCTTGTTTGTAGTTTACATTAGAATAGATTTACATTCTTTACTTTTTAGTTAGCTTTTTTATTGTTTACTTTACTCACTGTTTTACTTCTTCAATTTGAGAAAAGCTTGCAAAAAAAAGTTTATTAATGAATGTTCAGTTTTTTGTACATCAGAAAAATAAAACGTATAATTATATTATTATAAAGTAGGTTTTTATGAAATAAAAAAATTTATTTTATAATAAATTAGTATTATTATAATTTAGCAACAAAGGTGATTGAAGGAATTGGAAAACTTGAATATAGGGATAGACTGAAAGAATACAGATTAACAACACTAGAAAGGGGAAGATGCAGAGCTGATCTGATTCAGACATAAGTTAATAACTGGAAAAAAAGGAACACCGTTCAACAGGTTCTTTCAACTAGAAAAAAAAGGATTAAGAAGTCATAGATAAAAGCTTTTCAAAAAGACAAAAAATCCAGTAAAGCAAAAATTCTTCTGCAGCAGGATGGTAAACGCCTGGAACAAGCTGAGCGATGAAATTGTCTTAATGGATTCAATTAATAATTTTTAAATCAAGCTAGGAGAGTTAGGATACTAAAACATTTCAAATGTAGTGGTTCTTACACAGATGCTTGTCTACTGAACCACTTTAAACTTTGTTATGTTTGTTATTATTAATATTATTGTGTGTTGGTTAGTGTCAGGTCAGCACTGTCAGGGTTAGGAATCAATAGAGGGTTAGGAAACGTTCATAGACTTTAGTTTAGACAAGCCTTTATAGAGCTTTTTTAATTACATCACACACAAAAACATAAGTACAAAAAAACAGCAAAACACATAGAATAAATAAAAAAGAAGTCCTCTAATATCCTAATCCCTAACTAATTCATTCTTCACTCTTCAGTAACAAAACAAAAGAACATCAATATAAATATGAGCCTGACAGAAAAGGAACAAGACAAAAAAACAAAGCAAGCAACTAACGAGTTCAATTTATAATTCATCAAAAAAACCTTTCATTTAACTTTTAGGCGGAGACCAACAAAAAATAGAAAAACCCGGATAGCGATTTCTTTAAATTTAAATTAAACTTTAGCAATAAAATATGGAAGGGTTATGTAAAATTATCAAAATTCATTAGGCGCTGTACAGAATCGTGAAGAACTGGAACTAACGGATTGGTGAAGAAAGGAATGCCTCTTGTTTTTATATTTATTTATTTATTATAATGCTAAAAATGACTCACAAATATTTAAAAAAAAATGAAAATTAGCTGACAATTTGGACATCAATCAATTAATCGCTCATTATACTTCCTATAATTGCAACCGTTTCGCTGCGCTCAACAGCGCTTCCGATAGAATTTTGGAAAACAGATGGGTCTTAAGAAGATTGACTCTAAACTTTGTAAAAAAAAAATGGGTAAATAGGAACAGTTCCAGAGAAATGGACCAGGAAAAACGAAAGCAGATTATGTGTACAAGTTCTTAACAGGAATTTAAAAAAAGTGAGAATAAGAAGATGATTGTACACTGGAGCGTTTAGGTTTATTTGAAATATAAGTATTTAAAAAATAATTAGTTTGAAACTTTGTACGTTACTAAGCAAATTTAAAAAAATTTAGATAAGATATGGAAATATCATACATGATAAAAGGTAAAGGCACGAGCAAGTACCGACATGTTTTTGTAAATTCATAATCCTCGCCGTATCGTTAAGTATTTAAATAGACTAGTTGAAAAAATTTTTTGATACGTTTTTATAGTTAAGTCATAATCATCATCATCATCAAAATCGCAATGAAATTAAATTAAGTTTTTTAAATGTCAAGGTTAGTCCTTCCTTCGATACGTTGTTAGTTCATGATCATCATGTACGTGCTTATGTATGTGTGAATGTTTGTGCCTATGTATGCGTGCCTCTGTGTGTGTCAGTGTAAATGTAAGTAATATAAGTTGGTGTAATTATACGAACTCGTTGAACTATTATTACAGCATTGTTACTGACATTTTTATTATCACTTTTGTTATTATCAATTTCATTACAATTATTTTCAGTTTTTTAATATCTCGTGAATGCTGATTTGAAATAAATACCAAAATCGGCTGTATAAAATACGTTACAAATCAAATATAACGAGTAATTAAATATCCATTTGAAATCTTTTGAATTTCAAATCTTACCCAAAACTAGAAACTACTACTACTTATCTTACGTTACACCCCCCCCCCCCCCCACACACACACACACACTTTCTCTCTCTACATGAATGAGTGATTGAATGAAGGAACAAACCAACGAACGAATGTAGATAAAAGAATACTAAGCTTTTCAACAGCACTGTAAAACACACCGACCACCATCATCTTTCAAATTTGGTGTCTTCTGAACAGCAGAGAATCACTTGAATTATTTAAAAGAACGCTTTGAACGAATTAAACGAGTGTTTTTTAAATTATTCTTTATTTAAAAATTTATTGACAGCTTACGATTTAATTAATTTGTTCGTTCATTGATTCGTTGATTCATTCATTCATTTATATATTAATCAGACAAAATATTTAAGATTTGCAGTTTGCTGAAGTGCAAACAAACATTTATCTAATCATATATAACTACAATTCCGAGATTTTATTAAGGAAAGAAAAACACAGCGAATAACATTTTTTTTATTAAATTTCGGATTTAAAACAAACATATCCACATGAAATATAGACTGATAAAAAATTAGTAGCAGCATTCGGTTGGAAAGCCCCCTTGTTTGTTTCCGTGTTGGCGTGTTGGTGTGAGACACTCTGACTGCTTTGAAGTCCCATCACAGTTTACCATGGAATGACCTCCAACGGACCGTGGCCAACCCCCAACCATCTAGTTTTGAAATCTTTCTCCTTGCTAGAATCATCCAGGCTAGTGACGCGGAACAATTTGATGCAGAAGCTTTCACTCGTTGAACAATCTGCAAAAAATTAAATTCAATATGAAAAATAACTGGAAAAGAAAATAAAAACAAAAAAAATATAAAGGTAAATTAAAATGAAAAAATACTTATCTTTTTGCGTGGCGATCGATCATCCTCCAATCCATCGGAACATTTTTTAGACAGGTTTCTTCCTGTGAAAAATTACAAATCATCATGAAAAGAATACAGCAACTAATGGCTAGTGTATGTATTTCAAATATCAATCAATCAATTGTATATGGAAATTCCCACCCACCACCCGGTCTCATTTTGGAAAGTTTGATACAGAAGCCTTCACTAGTTGAACAATCTGCAAAAAACTTAGTTCAATATGAAAAATAAATGGATGAGAAAATATAAAAAAAAAACAAAAATTACACATCACATTGAAAGAATTGGAAAGAGAAAATAGAGAATAAACTTACTTACGTTCAATTAACTCGGCTCAGTCCCTAACTTACCTATGTTCAATAAACTCGGCTCAGTCCCTAACTTACCTATGTTCAATTGACTCGGCTCAGTCCCTAACTTACTTATGTTCAATTAGCTCGGCTCAGTCCCAAATTTACCTATGTTTAATTTACTCATAAACATATTAAGGAAGCAGAAAAAGTAAAACAATGAATGACTGTTGAATAGACGCAATAAATGTAAAAGTGAATTAAAATGAAAAAATACTATCTTTTTGCGTAGCGATCGATCATCCTCTAATCCATAAGAACATTTTTTAAACAGGTTTCTTCCTGTGAAAAATTGCAAATCATCATGAAAAAAATACAGCAACTAATGACTACTGTATGTACCTCAAATATCAATCAATCAATTGTTTATGGAAATTCCCACTCACCACCCGGTCTCATTTTGGAAAGTTTGCCCTTCCCCCTCCTTAAAGTTGTCTTCATCCGCCAATGCATTCCCTTGAGTTTAAAAAATTAAAAAAAATTATTTTTAATGGCATGTATTACGAAGTCGACATACCTTAGTTCCATTGAAAGTCTATTGATATTTCCGACGAAATTGCTCATCATCCAAATCATCAGACCATCAGAATCCCAATCATCTTCAAAATGATAATCATTTAAAAAAAATAATTATTCTTAATGGAATGAATAACGAAGTCGATGTACCTTAGTTCCACTGAAAGTCCATTGATATTTCCGACGAAATTGTCCTTGAAACACGATCTGCACTGACGAATGGTTGCCATTCCGTATCCAGCAAGATAAAGTAGATAGAGAAAGAGAAGATTCTCATCAGAAAGCTTAGCGTTGCCTGCATCTCAAATCACTTAACCTATTATAAAAATAATCTTATCTACCTATTCAATTAACTTAACTAAACTTATATCTTAAAATCTAAATGAGTGTATGATGCTAAGGCAGTCGAAATTCCTCTTCAATCTCCCTCTTGCCCAGAGTGTTTCTGATACCATGCGGTGCACTGAGTATTGGCTGTGGACTTGGTCACGCTACGGACTTCAGCCTCGTAAGCAATGTATCGTGCCGCCAGCCGCCAAACAGTACGTTGCTTGAGGATTCGAAGCTCACCTGTACAACGGACTTCGAAATCAGAGTCAATCGACTACCGAAGCCTTAACTTACCTATTCATTACAATTGCCCTAGCCTTAAAGAATTACAAAACTCAAAGAGCCCATGCTCCAACTTAATAATAATAATTTTAAACTTATTAATAAGCTTACCTATTGATACACTTACATCGTTCCTATCTAAATTATAGCCCTTAACTACCTATGACATTAAATTACTCTCATCCTTAGTAATAATAAAATAATGTTTTGTGAAAATAAAATTACGCTCAACATAATGTGATGCATGTGTCTTTGGCACGGTAGTTGAAAGACCTTTTTATTTTCCCTCCCTTGCACAGCGGTTCACCGACAGCCATTGTACCGGGTAGTCAACCATTGCCGTACCGGATAGTAAACCATTGTCATCCGGATAGTAAACCATTGCCGTCCGGATAGTAAACCATTGCCGGTACACCACTGGCCACCAACGCTTAATGTAATGTGTGTGTGGGTATTTGTGTTGAATAAAGAGAAAAAGTGAAACATAGAAGATCCGACACCATGATGAACTCCTTTACAGATGCATCGTACTGAGGTCTTCCCGGGAGGTGCTGTGAAAAATTCAATACTGATACTGATGCAAATTCTTAGGCGTTTCCTGAATGAAAAAAAATTATTCATTTAATTATTTACTAATGGAAGATCCGACTCCATAATGAACTCCTCCACAGATGCCGACGTCAAAGGTCTGACTCGCTGTGCAGTTGAAGGATGGTCCAATCACTGATCGACATTCTGCATCGTACTGAGGTCTTTCCGGGAGGTTCTGTGAAAAATTCGATACTGATACTGAAGCAAATTCTTGAGCGTCTCCTGAATGAAAAAAAATTATTTAATTATTAATTACTAATGAAAATTAAAAACGAGCCGTGATGAAAAATGCCAGCTAGCTGGCTGGCAAAAAAAAGAACCGCAAAAAAAACCGCAAAGGAAAGAGCGAAGATATACCTCAATATATCTCATTATATACCTTATTATATACCTCATTAAATACCTCATTATATACCTCATTAAATACCTCATTATATACCTCATTATATACCTCATTATATACCTCATTATATACCTCATTATATACCTCATTATATACCTCTCTATATAACTCTATATAACTCTATATAACTCTATATACATAACTCTATATAACTATATATAACTATATATAACTATATAACTCTATATAACTATATATAACTGAAAGAAAAAAAACAAACACTGCAACAAATAAATAAATTAAAACAAAACAACAGCTAAAAATTAAAATAAAAAACAAAAAGAAATAAATTAAAATAATTATAAAGATAAAAAAATGAGATCAGGCATTTCTGGCTCATGCGAGCACGCGAGGCAGAAGTGCCTGATGTGGTTTCAATGCTTTTTCAGCTCCTATTTATACTCGTTTCAGCCATACATTCTCATCATTTCAACCATCCACATCAGTAGAAAGTTTATTTCATGTTTGTAATACACTACTAAACAGTCTTAACGACAATGCTAGCCAAACTAAATTAACGTCAGGTAAGTAACGCCTTCGAAGCTTTCTGATTGCTGGTTGGTAATTCTATATTGCTTTTTATAAAAACATATAAAACATATATAATATAAAATCTAGTTATTTTATGTTGATTTATTATATAAATTCATGATGAAATAACAGTAATTGTTGTTACTTTAAATATTATAAGTATATGCTTTATGTATATTTTTTGTTATATACGTTTATTATTGCTACATGTATGAGCGGTTCAATTTCCGCAGAGGGAGAGAGAGAGAGAGAGCTCACAATAACATGAGGCCACACCTTTCTTACTTTTAGCTCTAATCTGTAGAATCAAGATCACCTTTTTGTAGAATCATGATTAGTAACGCAATGATTTTGTAGAATCATGATGATCATCGTTGCGAGAGAGAGAGAGAGAGAGAGAGAGAGAGATCAAAATAACTTGAGACCACACCTTACTAAAATCGTGAGCCGAATACATATCGATATCTTTTTGTAGAATCATGTAACACAATATTATCGCTATAGCAAATAATTAAATTTAAAAAATTTTTTTTAGTGTGTATCAATCAGTTCGGTCAAAAGTGTGTATCAAAGTTCGACATCTCAATGAAATTAATTTAAGAAGTTTTTTAAAAGTCAACGTCGGTTCTTTTTTTTTTTGATGTCTTGTTGGTTCGTGATCCTCATGTATGTGCTTCGCACATTATGCAGTAACAGGATTCGAATACACATGTTTCGTGTGCTGCGTCTCTTAATTCGAAAAAAAATTTTAAAAAATAAAGAAAGGTGTTAGGCAAGGCTGTGTATTCTCTCCAGAACTGTGCAATCTCTATAGTGATATTATTAATATTATTTTTACAATATTTAAAAAAGTTGTTGTAATACAATCATACCAATACCACTACCACTACCATCATCATGGTCATCTTCATCATCATCCTCACCATCGCTACGTCAGAGTTTAAAAATTCTTTTTCCTCCTCCGATCTCTGACAAATAAAAAGCAGCGAGCCACAGTAACATTTCACTTGGCGTGACGAAACGTGACATCAACGTCAGACGAGTAAATTGTAGTATATCGCGTTCTAATTAAATAATTTCAATCAAACAAATCAACAATTTTTTATACCGTTTTTTTTATCATCCATTAAATACTCATCTAATTTAATAAAAAAGTATTTATTTTCATATTTTAAATGATTATTCATTATTTTTGATCTGAAAAATAAATGATTCAATCAATAACTTATACCTTACTGGCCGTTGATATAAAAACATCAGTTTTGATTACAGTCTTTAATCATTTATTTAATTAATTTAAAAATTAATTACCTTTAAATGTATAAAAGAACAGAGATGAGGCGCAATGAAAATAATAAAGATGATGTTATCGATCAGTGTAGTCGTTCGTTATTCTTTATGGTGTTCCGTTGTTGTGGTGTTGTTGTTTCTGTTGTTGCGGTGTTGATGCTGTTGTTGTGATAATGTGATGTGGTTAGCTAATTTAATTTGTTTTTTTTTATTTATCTGTATTTGTTTGGCAAGGGGCTATTCCCATGCCCTTTGAAATAATAATAATAATTTTTTTCGGAAGGTTCAACTGAAAATGTGTGTATAATCCTGATTGCTATCATGGATTTTGTTGCTAATACTGCTAATAAAAATACTTTTGCTTCCCTTAATGTTATTTGATAGATGAAATGTTGTGCTTTTTAATGAATAGTAGATGTTAAACAGTTATATTATTACATATATTTTTTTAATTTGCCATATTTTACAGAGATAATCCAACAAAATTTACAAAAATTTTCACAGATATAGTAGTAGTAGTAGTAGCAGTAGTAGTAGTAGTAGTGATTAATGCAGTTTATGTCATGAATTTTGTTGGTATTTTTGACGTTATCTCATGTTGATGTTACTATGTACATGTTGATGTTACTAAGTTGATACTACTGAGTTTATGTTATCAGTTGTAATGTAAATTTTCATCCAGTAGTTTTTCAGTATTGACAATATTGTTTTAAGTGCAAGGTTGAGATGGGCAATAGCTGTGTACTAAAATTTGAAACATTTTATTTTTCGTCGAGAATGATGAATTTTTTATTACTGCTGCTACTACTATTAGTATTACTACTACTATTAGTACTCCGTGTGAATATTTTAAACACATAAAGTACTGAAATATATGTTGCATATATACTAAAGTTTTTAGTTTAGTTGAACGTCCAAATTTAGTCAGTTACATCATCAACAACATCAGCAGCCTCAACATTAACAACAACAACATTAAAAACAGCAGTAACATTATATCCCAATCGGTTTTATGATTAATGACAAAAATCTCTTGATGTTGACTAAAAAGAATTTTTCTTCTAATTTTGTATGCTGGCCAAGAATACTGGTTCAAAAATTAATACTTATAAAAACTTGAACATTTTAGTAATTTTTTCCTAGAAACAAAATTAACGAAAATCATAAAAAAACCAATTCTACAATTTTTTTCCAAAGTTACGTTATTAAACTTCTACTTTTGATTATAAAAAATGTCATCATGTTGTTGCATAGAAAGCAAGGCTATACTGCACACCACACGCTCCCAACTGTTCATAGGTTGCAAATTTTCAAGTCTCTATAACAACTATTAAAATATACAATTTATTATTACTATTTTAAACAATTACTAACATTACTACTGCAAATACTATCTTAAGTTCTTTTTCATATTCAATGTCATGGCTACTAAATATACTGTTTCGTATACTTTTTGCTACAAAATCATTATTTTAGGAATGGTAATTCTTATTTGTGTTACTACTATTACTCCTATTACTCCTACTACTACTACTACTACTACTAATAATAATAATAATAATAATAATAATAATAATACTATTATTACTCTTACTAGTACTGACACTATTACCACCACCACCACTACTACTACTACCACTACTACTACTACTGCCGCTACTACTACTTCTTTAACGATACAATGCATAACAATAATACGGAAGTGAATGCATTCTATTTGTGAAGCAGTTTTTATGTTTTTTGAACTTTTTGCAATGCGATTTAATTGCTATTGCGCCATAAAGAGAGGACGCCAGGTGCTATGAAGGATTTTTCGGGCTGAATTAAGTCTTGGATTTCCATTCCAGAATGATGATAGTCTTATTGTTTCCACTTAAAATACATAAAAGAAATAAAAAAGGTTTTTAACGTTTGAAATTTTTAAATTCGTTTGTGTAGGTTGTTGCTGCTGATATTGTTTAGAAGTTCGGGTTTTGCTGTCTTTTGGTATTGTTGCTATGGCATTATTGTCTTGGTGCTGTTGTAAGATTGTTGTTGTATTGTATGAATTTGTTTGTGTTTTGTATGAAATGGTTTGTCTCTGATGTTTCGGGCAAGCAACTAAACGAACTAAGCAAATTACGGTAATCAATATTCTAGATGAAACTAATGAAATAACGAAAGAGAGGAGTGAGATCATTGTGGTCTGGTATGTTTATGTGCATTATACCTAAGTCAAAAATTTATCGTTCAATACAGACATAAGGCAGACAATTTTGAAAAATTAGATTGTTATCTGTTCAATTGCTTGTATATGTATTTGATGAAGACAAACAAACATAAAGAATGATTAAATGACAGTCATGATGAAAAAAGTAGTTAAATATAAAAAATGAATCATATAAAATTTCGAATTTCATAACCAGCTATTACTCGGATGGATACAAAAACCAACAATTTAGAAGAGGCTTCATTATAGTTATGACTTTTTGCTAGCCCCATATTGGCATAGCAGGAAAAGATGAGTTTTAGCACAAGATTTACAAATTTGTTCATTTCAGATGTCAACAAAAAAAAGCTCCCCCATCAAACTATTTTTCTACCGAGCCTTATTATAACCAGTAATGCATAGAAAAATTTCTAGCGAAACACAATTATTTCAAGACAAATGCTGTTTAAGGAAAAAAAGTCAATTGTTCATAGTTCTAAGAGTCAAGGAAATTTATTGTTACTCAAAATATACCTGTAGTTCAATTTCTTAGCCGATCTACATCTTAGAAACATCTCCTCCATAATTTGAATAACACTGATTGCTCTTTTGAATTTCATTAATAGCTGAATCTGATGTTACCCAATGTCTTTCGAAGCATTGCAATGCTTTGGGATATTGTTGTAATCGTGGCTTCAACAAATCAATTGCTGATTGCCAATGTTTTTGATCAGAAAACCAAGAGCGGCACCAAGGACCTGCTATGGATGCACATAAATTTTCAAACTCGCTTGTACGTTTTTAAGGAAGTAATACAAATGCAAGAAGTGCAAAAATGGCACAAAAATTCCAACGAGCATTGCTAATTTTTGGAAGTGCATGGAATTGAATTGATGAAAAGATTTTATGCCTTTCAGTTGAATATCAAGCTTCCACCATTTGAAGATAGTTGTTGATTGGAGAATTCTTTATCTTCCTTGTTCATCCATCATCCTTTGACATCTGTGACGTCAAATAACTTTGAGAAAAAGGAAATTGCATCACCTTCAGGTCATTTCTGATATTTTTTATAATTTACAA